CCCCCCAATAATGCCCAAAGGCTCTTAGCTCAGAGCTGACATCCCAGGGTATCCCCACATCCTGGCCTAATTCCAGCTTAGGTCAATCGTTGGCTCTTCCTAACTTTCCCTGCGGTTTCATTTTGGATATGTGATTCTTCACTCCCTGTCCTAAAACTGCCCTGTGTTGCTGTGCGCTGGTAAGCAGCTGCAGCGTGCCACCCCAGAGGTGGTCACGTTGGCTGGCGGCATTACTGGCATTTATCATTACTTTTCTTCCCCGCATTAGTTTTGTGGCTGCACAATTGCGGGGCTGTCCTTGCTGTCCTCCAGTGTGATGCGGCTGGTCAGCGAGCAGAACCCAGAGGACTGGATGGACCTGTTGCTGCCGCGCCGCTCGCTGTACATCCTCAGGTAACGTGGCCCATCAGGTGAGGGTGTGGCGAGCCCTAGATGTGACGGCGCCTCGTCTCTGCCGTCAGAGGCAGGGTGCGCCGGGTTCTGTAGAACTTTGTGAGAGGTGCCAAAGGAGGTGCCGTATGAGAGGAGTTAGTTTCGGGGGGGACGTTGTTAATAATTCCTAGGTCCTGTAGAGCTCTTACCAGCAGCACGTCTCAGAGGACTTTACCAAGGAGGTCAGTATAATTATTCCCCTTTTACAGATGGGGAAACTGAGGCACGGAGCAGAGCGGTGACGTACCCAAGGTCACCCAGCAGGCCAGTGGCAGAGCCAGAAACGGAACCCAGGTCTCCTGACTCCCAGTCTCTACCCACTAGGGTGCAATGCCTCCCTTAGTGGCAGCTGGGAGTGGAGACTGGGCACCCTGATTTCAGTCTCAGCGCAGAGGCCGAGGAATGAATGTGCCATGGACACTGAACTCACCCTTAGCGGTTCTATCTAAGGCCCATTTTTGGCCCATCCCCATAGTATCTGAGGACTGTATTTATCCTCACAACCCCCTGTGGGACAGAGCCGGGCTTTTATGCCCAGTGTACGGCTGGGGAAACTGAGGCACAAAGACTAAGCGACTTGCCCGTGGTCTCACAGGGAGTCTGTGGCAGAGCAGGGTGGGCCTCCCTAGTCATATGTTATAGAGGCCAGTGGCTCTTGGGCTGAGCCAGACTTCCTCTCTCCCCTCCTTTCACAGAGGCCCGGCTCGCTACGAGTTCACCCACGAGATCCTCAAAGACGAGGAGTCCTTTTTTGACGGGCAGAAGATCCCCCGAGAGAGGAGGATTTCCGTCATCTGCAGGAACCTGCCTGTGCTGCCAGCTCCTACGTAGGCCAGGCTAGAGACGCTAGTGGAGCCGTGGGATTGGAAACAGCCTTCCTCCCCTCTCCGGGCTGGAGCAGAGCGGAATGTGTTCATTTGATCTGGTTGACGCTTTCGCTCCAGCATGCTCAAAGGGACCTGTCTGTGGAGGTTTGTAGCCAAGACTAAACCAGGGGACTTCTCCCCTCAACACGCAGCCGTGGAGGAGTCTGCGGATGTGTGTACCCTCGACAACCACCCAGGTGCCTACTGTGTCATCAGCAGTGCAATTAATGAATGATTTAATGCACTGTATTGACTACCCACAGGGCAAGGGAAGCTGCATAGTCCATGTTAAACCCAACAAGTAAAATCTAAAATAGAAATATCTCCCCTGTGATCTTCGTTACGGGGCCTGGGGTGACTTTAACAACAGCAGGTAAATAGAATTCCGATAGAAGTGTGCTGTTTTTGTTTGTTTTTAAAGGGAACCGCTGGTGAATTTTGGCGAATTTCCCTCATTAAAAATAATTTTTGAACACGTACCTTTTTTCAGAAGTAGTTGTTAATCATTTTTGTTACAGGGCGTAAAGGCCAGCTGCAAACAGGGCCCCATTGTGGTCCGTCTAAGGGACGACCCTGGGCTAGCTCAAAGGGGGTAATCCTTGCCCATCTGTCCCACAAAATAGCCACACGTCTTTTGATCAGTTTCATGGTTTTTATTAGTCTGAAACCACCATGTACATTTCAGCCGTTCCCAAGACATGCCTGAAAACGAGCAAACAAACACAATCCCCGACTCTCTACTAGCGGAAAGAAGCAAATAAATTAAAAAGGGACTCTTAACAAGCTCAGGTAGGGAGGTGGCGGGAATGAGATCCCTGGCCCTCCCTGCCCTTAGTGGAAGAAACCAAATAAATAAATAACTTAGGAATCCATAAATATCTCTTGTATCGTCCAGCTCTCCCCCTGCGCCTGCGTGTAGATGAGCCATGCACACCTCCTCCAGGCAGGTTCTCGGTCTCAGATCCTCCAAGGTATTTAGGCTCCTAACTCCCATTGGTTTCAGTGGAAGTTAGGAGCCTAAATGCCTTTGAGGTTCCAGGCCTTAGCAAACAAGCTAGCATCTCAGTAATGCGAAGAAACAGGATGGGATTGGCGGCTGAGTGGAAGGAGGGGGTTGGCCTGGTGGTGTGAAGTGAACGCCGTTGTTGTTTTGATTGACGTCCCCGGTAGTGGTAGTAGCAGTTCCCTTCTCCCACCCCTAGAGGGAGCCCTTCAAGGGGCAAAAGTCGCAGCCCCCGTCCTGTGGGATCTGTGGGGTGGAGTTTGGTCTTCTCTCAGGCTATGGGTTCTAGGGTGTGGGAGGAAGAAACACTGACTGGTTTAACATTGGAGCTACGCGCACCCTACTGACTCACCCTCCCGCCAGCAACATCAGCCCACGCAGGAGCAGGCAGAAGCCGAGAGCTTCTCCACCTCGTGCCACTGGTGGCTGTTGTCCAGGAAGGCCACGTCCTCGTAGTGCGTTGGCCGGCAGCAGGGGTCGCCAACGATCTTCTCCTCGCCCAGGGCCGGGATCTCACTCTTCTGGAGCAGCATGGAGAGCGTCAGGTCGTGGTTGGTGCGGGCCTTGGGGCAGCTCCCGCTGCAATACTTGAACAGGATGGTCTCCTCGGAGTCGTAGCCCAGGGCCAGGTCCTTGACGCGCAGCAGCAAACTCCGCAGCCGGCACTCCTGCCCCTCTGGCTGCTCCCACAAGCGGCTGCCGGCCAGCGGCCTCCGTTTCTGACGGCGCTTGGCCGGCCCGGGGGAGGCGTAGGGCAGCAGGTTTCTAGGGTCATCCAGGACGTGCAGGGAAGGTCCCTTTGGCATGTGCGTCTCTGAAACAGAAAGAGACAGAGATCACGCCACACTGGGGAGGTTGTGCTGAAGGCACTGACCAGACCTGGAATCCCAAATGCAATTCCACCCACCACCTCCTTGAGCAGGGTAGAGGGGAGCCCCTTTCCGGCTCAGACTGCACCTGTTGTGATCCGCCACCACTGGGCAAAGAGCATGGGGAGAATCCTGTCTCCATTGTGCATCTCAACTACGGTGCTAAGTTCTGGACAAACTCAGCCCCAGGGAGATGGAGACACGTTGCAGGGAGCTCAGAGGAGAGCAGCAGCAATCCAGAGGCTGCAGGGACTGAGTTGGAGGCCAAGGCTCCTCGGTGACAGAGCTTAGCCGAATAGCCACCATGAAGGGACAAGGACAGTCCTGGGGTAGAGGAGCGAAGGTGATCTCGGCTGGCTGGCTGGCTGTGGAGCTAGAGAAGCCGGCGGAAGCCCCGTCGATGGGATCTTTTAAAACTGAGACGCGACGCTGAGTTTTTTTGCACTGTCAGGTTTTAAGCGACTCAAACCATTGGGGATGCCAGTGATTCTACAGGAGGCTACTCGGACCCTGCAGGCAGCGATCCTGCGGTGGATGCAGCTGGAGAAGTCAGAGGTTTTGTATTGTTAGGAGGGGAAGACGGGATCTGTTATACCCACGCTTCTAGCCCAGTATCCCCCCTGTGCTGTTTCAGAGCAAGCCAGAGAGTCCCATATTCTCCCCCGTTGGTTCCAACCAATGGGTGTCTGGATTCATATCCCCCCTCCTTCACACCAGTGGGTCCTATCGTCCTGTAGCCCTCCTGCATCCAATCAGAGCAATGGCCCATCGCATTTGGCCTCTTGACTCCAGCCATGACCTGTGCTAGATGCTTCGGAGGAAGAGACTAAATCCACAATGGCTGGTGGTTTAATAATTGGACTGTGTGTGGAGGGAGGGAGTACCTTCCTGACCCCCACTGTTGTTTCTCACCTCAAGCCCTGAAGCATGAGGATTGATGGACTTTGTACAGCTAATTGATGCCATTGGGAGTGAACTGAGGGATGGGTTTAACCCCCTCTCCCCCTGCACAGATCTACCCAGACATTTATTCCATGCTCATCCCTTGCGCTATCTGAGTGCCGCCGCCTAGGGAGCGAGCGGATTTATAGCTGTAATTTCCCTCCTATCTGCCAGACGATACGGCACATCTAGCGTGTGCAGGACTTGCCGCTGCTCCGCTCTCGGTCTGCCGGTCCGATGGCTGGGGATAGAGAGCAGAGTCGCTCAGTCTAATCCAGTAATTTTCTGTATATAACCCCCCCGCCATGCCACTAGCTAACCTCTTAGCTGGGATTGAGGGACCCTGGGGGACTGAACCAAACTCTTCTCCCTGCCAGGGGGAAAATTCATCCCTCTGCTATCCACTCTACTGTGGGAGCGTAGAGGATGTACTCAGTAGTTAGGACACTACCTCACTAAGACCCAGGTTCAATTCCCGGTTCCACCACAGATTCCCCATGTGACCTTAGCCTTCCCGTGCCTCAGTTTCCTCACGTGTGCAATGGGGATCATAGTGGTGCCCTGCCTCCCAGGCGTTCGTGGGGATAAATCTACTCACACGGGGGAGGTGCCCAGATGCCGCGGTGCTGCCGGATAAATGCCAGGCATAGATTGGTCTCCAGGGCTTGAGGCCGGTTTCCCTTAGCCCAGAAATCACTGGGGTTGGGGAAAGAATGGTACAAAATGGGAGCCTCCCCCGCCCCGCCCCGGCACTGCCCAGCCTGCGAATAGCACCGAAAGCGTCGCATACCTAGGAGTGCCCAGAGCAGGTCCTTGACGCTGGTACCCGGCTCTTGCTCTTCCATCAGCATGGGCCTCTTGCCTTCCACTGGCTGGGAGACAGCGGGTCTGACCAGGAGGATGAGCGAGACGCTGCAGAGGAGCTGGGATGAGTCCATCTTTCCCCAATTAAGCCGGGTTGGCTTCTGAAAGGAAGGTGGCTCATCTCTCGTTTATATCCTCCTTGGGATGGCCCAGGGGGTTGGCAGGGCAGGCGTTAACCCTTCGTAACCCTTGAAACATTTCATGCTGGGCCAAATGCAGGGCGGGTGGAAGGAGACTCATTCCCAGCAGAGTCTCTGGCGTTGGTGCATTCGATCCGGTCTCTCTCTCGAGTCTTTGCCTCGGGACTGTAGAATGCTCGCGGGCCGAGCTGGCTAGGCGAGGAACTGCACCCGCTCAAGTCACCCCGGCCCCAGGTGGTTTGACTGACAGCGACGTTGGATCGGTGGGTTTGGGGAGCCGGGATGGGGTTAAATCCTCGTCCTCCTCTCCCCGTCTGAAAGGGTTAACCGAAAATCTTGGGGGGAGGGGGGGAAAGCCCAGGATACTTGAATGGAAATTCCTGGACTTGATTACACCCAGCTCTGCTGTGCAAATACCTCTGGGGGGAGTGGGGGGGGATGGAAGGGGGATTGTACATAAATTATAGGGTCGCAGCAGGGGTGGGCTAGGGTAAGACGTTGAGGCAGCTGGTAACAGACTGCTAGTAAAGCGTGAGTGCGCCTGGCTGGCCGGGCTGCCCAGGCCTGTGTCTGGCTGGCGAGACGTCCGGAAAGGGGGGACTCCTGGCCCTGGTGGATGGGATGGAGCCGGGATTTACTGGGCTTGACTTGGTTCCACGCTGCGGGTCAGGCAGGTTCCCCTCTCCCAGTTCTGCGAGGCAGCGAGACTCAGCCCCTTTCCCACAATGCAGCTCGGGGCAGTTGCCACGGACCACCCTCCAGTTGTGGGCCCAGAGGAGGCAGTGTGGGGCATCACCCTCCCCCGGCCAGAATTCCTCCCATGAGCACTTTGCCTTCTCCCCCGGCTCTCCCTGATTCTGGGGCAGACTCTGGAAGGCCTCTGCAGCGCTCCCCTAGAAGTCACTGCGGCTCCCCCAGTGGGGTGCTGGCAGGATCAGGCCCTCGGCTCCCTGTGCTAGATAAAGAGGCGAGGACGAGATGGGCAGAAGCCCCTGCTAGGCACCCAAACCCCTTTGGCCCTAGGAGGTGGGGGCGCCCGATTGAGCTCTCCACATCCAGGCAGCCCTCAGGGTGACAAGTAGCCGGAGATCGGAAGGGGCCTATTTTTCAGGCCAGGCCACAATGTGGCTTTGGATGGGAAGCCAGAAGGCGGCTGTCCTGGGCGGCTTGGGGCCTGCCTAGCGCTGTGCCGGCTGCTCCCCGGAACCAACAGCTCGGCCCCCGCTAGACCCAGTGGCGAGCAGGTCACCTCCCCAGAGCTGTGTGCTTTGGGAGGAGCCCGTGCCGTGGTCCACTTAGACGCAGCTTCCATAAACTCTGGCACCAGCCCAGCCTTGGGGAGCAGGGGCTCGAGGGCTTTCCCCTCTGCTTCTGTCTCCACCCCCAGCACAGAGAAAATCCCCCTTATGTCACCTGCCCCATCCCCAGTGCCTACGCTGTGGCCTGCATGGGACTCAGCAACTGGGCTCCCCCATGCCACAGCCTCTAAAGCTTCCAGCCTCAGCCCGATTTCCTTTGCCACCCTCTGCCCCAGGCAAAGTTCTGCCTGGGTCACTCACCCAGCTCTGGGGTGGAGCACGGCAGCTGGTTCACAGCCACACAGCGATGCTGCTGGCCAGCAGGCAGCGGCAGACGGCGATTACGGGGCTGGAGTGGAATGAGGAGCGGGGATTTTGGCCAGACACCAACTCTGCACGAAGGGTCTGGAGTCTTGAATGAGCCCACGTGCTCAACAGGCCTCTGCTTCCCCGCAGCGGCAACCCCCGAGGGCTTCCTAGCACCGTCCTGAGCCAGGCGAGCCTCTCCCTGCACCCCCGAGCAGCGGTGTCTGGGCCGACTCCCAGGAGAGTGCTCTGGGGTCAGCTCCCACCCCACTCCTTGCAGCCAGCGCTGACTGAGACTAGAGGTTTCTAGCACAAGTCCCCCTCAACTAGCAGCCGCAGGGCCTCTGTCATCTCTGCGCCTTGGGTGGCAGCGGGACAGTCTCCCCTCCAAGTCCAGCCCTGGGTGGATGCTGGCTAACTCAAGATCTACCGCAGAGCCCAGTGTGGGCTGGTGGCTCATGGGTAGGTCAGGGCCATGGGGAATCTCCCATCATGCGCAGGTAGGAGCCCCGGGGCTGGCGCTCAGCTCCTTCCACTTGTGCCAGCGTTCCGGGAATGCCGAGGGAAAGGTCAGCAAAGGAGGAAGAAGAATTTGGGGGCGGAGGGGACGAGCAGCCGTCTGGTTCCCGGCTTAGTCCTGCCGCGTATGGAACATCTCCCTGCGCCGGGCCGAGGCAGGGGGATTGCACGCAGCGTCACAGGCCCCGGCGATAAATCAGTGCCGGCGCTGACAGGAGAGCACTCGGCGCCGTCTGGGACTGGGGCCGGGCGAGCGCATTCCTTCCACTCCTTCCTCCGCCGGCCGTGCCAATGGCGAGCAGGGCGGCAAAGTCAGGCCCTGCCAGGCCCGAGGGGAAACACCCCAGAGGTGTCTGGACACCTGGGTTCTATTCCTGGCTCTAGGAGGGAGTGCTTGGAGGAGTGGGAGTCAGGACACCTGGGTTCTCTTCCCAGCACCAAGGGGAAGTGGGGTCTAGTGTTTCCTAGGCTGTGACCTCCCTCCTCCTCAATCTTTCGCAGGGCTCTGGTTTTCAGAGCCCGGCTTCCCCACGGCTGCATAGGAAAAGGTGCCCCTCTGTTCAATGGTAATGCTGTCACCCACCAGCCCCCAGCGTCTAGGGATGCCAGTAACAATAAAGCATTTTGAACCCCTGAAAAACTAGACACAGGCGGGGAAGAGGGAAGCTCTGGTGGGTGAGGCTCAGTTACGTAATGAGGGGGTTGTACTTTGACTAGACTTCCCCTCTGGGCTGACTCCTGGGAGACTGAACTTTCCCGGTGGCTGGCCCCAAAGCCAGTGGAACTCACTGCTACTAGATACAGGCACGTCCGCGGGCCTCACCTTGGACAGAGCCACAAGCAGAATTCAGCGCTTCCCACCCCATCTCTGACACCTTGGAGCCAAAGGTATTTGACTCGCATTAGTCTGGACCTCAGAGCCCATTGCGATGGGGCCAGGTAATGCCTGTGGAGGAGGGGCTGCAATGGATGCTTGCACCAAGAAGTAAATCCCGTTGGCAAGGGGACTGCTGGGACACAGAGCAGGGCCAGCGCCAGCCCCTCAGCTATTCAGTAACACCCCACACACGGGCACTCGGTGGCCATGTGGGGCCAGAACCTCAAAGGTATTTAGGCACCTGATTCTGGGAGCTAGGCACCTAAATATCTTTGAGGAGTCACGTCTCAGCCTTTGAGGCCTGCCCGAACCAGCTGGGCTGCCAACATGGCGGGGCTGGGAACTAGCTGCAGAGCCGGCAGCCAGACACATCAGCTACCTCTGCCCACCGCTGGGCTCTGGGAACCGAGGCAGCTTAGCTGGAGGCCGGCTCAGGTGTTATGTCCTGGCCCGTCCCAGCGGGTTATTTTTAGCAGGGAGATCTGACGGGCCAGACGCCCGCCGGCGCAGTGCCCCCCCCAGCCGGCAGGGCTAACGAGAGCAGCATGTGGGGAAAGGCAAGAGCAATGCGAGGAATGCCGGGGGCTGCGCCAAGGGCAGCCGGCCTCATGGGGATAAATCACAGCTGGGTTTTCCTTTACGTGGCGGCGCAGGGACTGGCTGCGGCAGGGAGGGCGTTGGCCACAAGCGTGTTTAATGTCACTCCGGGGTGCTCAGCTGGAGGGGCGCACAGGGGTCCGGGCTGGGGCAACCGCCTGGCCCGGAGCATCACTGGACAGAGTGGGGAAACTGAGGCACCACAGGGGCAAGGGACTTGGCTGCACAGCAGCATCATGGCAGAGCCAGGACTGGGACCCTGACTTCCAGCCCCCCGACCCCCTCCCTGCTCTAACCACTCAGCTTCACACCCCTCCCAGAGCTGGTGCTAGAACCCAGGAGTCCCCACCCCCCACCCACCCGTCCAGGGCCTGTCACAGTCAGTGTGGTGGAGGGCCCCGTTCCAGGATTCACTGCCCCCCACCCCCGTTCTGCCATTGCTGGGATCAAGGAGGCACCTGGCTTCCCCGTAGGCCCAACCCCACTGGGGCTGGCTGGTCGCTCCCTTCCCGCAGCACCAGCTGGGCAATCACCTTAACTCTAGGGCTGCACCCTCCTGCCCTTTGCTCCTCTGCCTGCCTGGCTAGGCCCCCACCCCCCGAGCTTTCAGAGTCGTGCTCCCTGCCCCACAGGCTCAGGGCCAGGCCAGGCACCAGGCAGGGTTGTATTAACTGCCAGCCCCCGGGGTGGAGTGGGACAGCTGTGCCCACAGCCCAGGCTCCGTTCCCTGGCTCTGCGTTGAGGCTGGCATGGCCCAGCTGACGGCTGCTTGCCCCTGGTGGCACACTCTGCTTTCGCCCACAGCAAGTGGGCGGAGGGTGAACTAAACGAGAGGGGGAGTCCAGGAACCAGCGCTGGTTCTGATCCAGCCAGGGGGGGAAGAAATGGGGCAGCAGCTCCAGCTGCCCCTAGGCAGGGAGAGTGGCTGGCTCTAGGGGGCAGGGACTGGGACTTTTCATAGAATCATAGAAGATTAGCCGTAGAAGGGACCAGCCCCAACGTAATCATCCCAGCCAGGGCTTTGTCAAGCCTGACTGTAAAAACCTCTAAGGAAGGAGATTCCACCAGCTCCCCAGGGAACCCATTCCAGTGCTTCACCACCCTCCTTTCCCAGCTCAGGCATGACACCATTGGGGGCTGTTCTACCAGCAACTCCTGGCTTTAGGGCTAGGGCTGCAGTCCCTTAATGGGCCCTGATTCAAGGGGCTTTTGGCCCCCTCTGGCAGCCAGAACCCCCCAAGCCACCTTCATCCACCAGGGCAGGTGCCTGTATGTGCCAAATCCCAACCCAGTAATTAGGGCCCCCGGTGGCCCGTGACGTGACCCTTGGGTGCCCC